TTGAGGATTATTTAAAAATTCTGACCTTTGTTTTAATAAACTCAGCATTCAATTACCTGCAACAAAATAAGTTAATAAGATTTCGTTAAGTATATATATTTTTAATCAAAAAGAACCTTACATAAAATAGTTATTACCTACACAACTTTATAATAAATTAAATAAAATATTAAATATATACACATTGAATAAACATGAATGTAAAACGTCGCTACTTAACATCCTAGAAACATTTAGCTATGAAGACACTGAAGCCTTTGTAGGTAATCATGAATCATAATACACTAGTAATTAGTCAACTTCTACAATCAGTCATGAAAATTCATTCTCATAAACACACAAACACACACACACACATACACATACACACATATATCATTATTCACATTTTAACCTAGACTATGTTTAGTAAATTGTAAAATTGTAATACTTAGCTTAGCTATACGTGTTAAATTAAATTATAATTAGTTGGTACACCTATGTAATGGAAGAGCGGGTTCTCCTAACACAAGTGTTATGGCTAAAAGGAGGTCCCAATCACTTATCAGTATTGTAAAATCTTTGAGATAACGAATAAAAAAAAAAAAAAAAAAAAAAAAAAAAAAAAACACACATACAAAAGCAAAAAAAAATTACAAATACCTATAAAACTTGAATAGATTTTATTAACGAAAGTGATTCGCCTCTTCGGCAATAGATGGCGCTAATAAACTTAAATTTCTGAAATCATTTAATTCATAATTGTGAATAAATTAAAAGGCTTGTCATTTGATTTTGTGTAAAACCAACTTACACAAAATCAAACTCTACTTTTTTTATTGAAATATATGAATAGTTATGTATACAAAATGAGAGGCCTGCGTCAATACTTAAAATCCAGTAGTAATTGCTACGAAAAATTTAATTTTTTATAGATTTTAAATTTAGTATGAGTCATGTAAGAAAATTTACAACAAAGAAATATTTTTCGTTTAAGTATATTGTTTGTGTTTCGTTAATCTTCAAATACACCTCGCGACTATAAAATTACAAGTATTATAACGAACTCAAGCTTCTTTCGAACAAGTTTTCCGTTCGTGAATAAAGATAGGGTATCATGTGTGATAACGATAATATAGATAGCAAAGTGATAAAACTTATATAATTTCTTTGATTTTGACAGGAGGTGTACTCAGAGATAAATAGGAAAGCTTGAAAATTAATTAAACTGTGTTATTCCCGTCCAGTAAATATGAAACATCTTTTTTAATATAGAACAGGGGGCAAACGGGCACGAGGCTCATCGGATGTTAAGTGATACCGCCGCCCATGGACACTCTCAACTCAAGAGGGCTCGCGAGTGCGTTGCCAGCCTTTTAAAAATTGATACGCTCTTGAAAGACCCGGGTACCAAGTAGAAACCTGAGGCGGAAGTCTCAACTTTTGGATGTACCGCGCGCACATTCCAACTTGGTTAGCGAAGCACCACTCACGCGAGCAATAATTATAATAAATAGGATTTCTGTTGAGGTAGACCTATTTATTTGTACACTGGCTGAATTCACAAGAGTTGCTTCCTATATTATTAGTTATAAGATTTAGGTATATAAATATAAAATTTTTCTTAATGTTTTTTATCTAGGTTAATTGGTGTGGGTGTAAATATTGTGTCGTTCTATCGAATTAGTAATTACTGTAAAGATAGAATAAGGATATGGAATAAATAAATAAAAAAAATATAATTAAAAAAAATAAGTCGAATTGGTTCGGAAATACTTCAGTGGGCAGTTGGTTCCACATCGTGGCTAGTATCCGACATAAATAATGAGCGACGCCATATTGACAGTGGAACTACATTGAAATGAACAGGCTAGTGAAACGTCGCCGATTCAAGTTATTTAATATTTGCCTAGCTGTTTGATCAAATGGCTGAATATCATTCAGGCCGCTAGTTTAACGGCGCTGTTTAGTAAAGAGGCTAGGCTGTTGATTTAAACGCCAATTAGGCTAGTTGGCTGCGACATATATATTGTAAAGAATATTATTCATCGGAATGTCAAATATCATAGCTGTAATACCATGAAGCGATAGATCAAAGACTACATTTTTCGTCGACGTTTTAGTTACGAGTATGTTCCATTTTATACACTTTTTTTATCTCATCTTATACATAGGAATTGAACTTAATATAACACCCGACTGTGCACCAATAGACTTTCTTTCTATGTGCGCATTTAATATTTGCTCCAACGGTGAAGGAAAACATCGTGAGGAAACCGACATGTCTTAGACCCAAAAAGTCGACGGCGTGTGTCAGACACTGGAGGGCGGAGGCTGATCACCTACTTGCCTATCAGATTTAAAAATGATCATGAAACAGATTCAGAAATCTGAGGCCAAGATCTAAAGAGGTTGTAGCGCAACAGATTTTTTTTATAAACTATAGACTATATGTTATATGACATTCGTTATTCAATTATTATTTATTACAGAGTATAGAAACAGTTAAATAAATTAAGTAAAAACTGGCGGAAGCGAAAGCATGAAATACGCTAAGACGTAAGACGTCCGATTTAAAAGACATACACGTCTAGAAAGACGGCACAGCCACTGACGTTTATCGTATAATTACATGTTCAAAGTTCAATTAAAATATTCCCAAGTGGCGCGCGCGCACTAATCACACTGCATTATGTATGAGATGAACGCGGAAGTCATTAGGGTTTCGTGACCTTCAGTCACCGCGGGACCATTCGCCCTGTTTCCCTGATGATATAATAGATTTGTATTGCCAAATAATTATAAGGGCCAGATATGTTTGATATTAGAGCTTCTATAGTTCTTAATTTTCTTAATAATGGCATATCTATAATTCAATAATAATCGATTTAACACCAAGGGATAGAGATACAGAACCAAATGAATGCGACATAAGCGTATTAAAATTTACTTATTATTCAGTAAGGTTAAGCAACACTTAACATGGCTAGAAAGTTGATGGGTGCCCGTAGCCAATACAACAAGTTTGCTATTTTTGACTCACTCACCTTGTTTTTTTTTATTACAGTACGTACGTTAAAAACTTACTACATATGAAAAAAAATCGACATAAAACCATTTCGATGTAGATCTCGCAATATACGCGCTGATCACGCAAACTTGGAGTAAACGAAATCTTTTTAATTAGATTATAATATATAGCTTGCAGATTTATTTCTAATCATTAGTCCTATTTAAAAACAGACGCTATCAGAAGTTATATACATATATAACATTTATGTTTAACTCCATAATACGACGCAATAAATATAGATAATGTATTTTCTAGACATAATATATATGTATATACGTATAATGCGTATAAACACGGAACAAATATAGCTACTCAGGCCTTTGCTCGGACTTGTACAAGAACTATTGTCGCCACTTTGATTCCTATGATTTCCCTTATAATATGCAAAATGAAATATTAATTAATTACATTACATGTAGTACACTCGCCAGAAAATTCCGGATAGGTAACATAGTTTATTAAAAACAATTCTAAGTTATTTTTTTTTAAATTTTATGGCCATTGGCCTGGTAACGAGACCTTTAAGCCAATTCTAAGTTAATAAGCACAGATAAAGACACATGCCATAGAGAAAAAACTGACGTAAAATGGGGTAATTATTCCCGCCATTTTTTAAAATAAATGTATGAATAATTCTGGATGTCTTCGTCGTAGTTATTTTGACGAACAGAAAATATTATTGTGTGACAGATGGGTTCAGAGTCCACTCTACAATGTCTACAGCCAATAGTCAGGCGATACATTATCTAATAGCATATTGATTAAAAATTTGCTAATTTAAAATTCTTATAACTTTGACACACACACTTCATATACGAAAAGTGTAAGAAATATGATTTATTTAACCACATGGCGGCTTTTTACTAACATATGTATCGTTATTATTTTATTAGTGCTAAAAACGGCATTTTAATAAGTAAAGTTAAATAAATGTAAATCACTCAACTGCTTTGTTGACAAACGAGTGAACTAATCCCTAACAAAAATATTTTACGAAAATTGTTAGTTAATAGCACATTTAGTTTGCCGTTTTACCAGTATTACACAATTTTAGAGTTATCTAAACGCCGCGAAGCCACGAGAAGCGCCGCAAGGTCACATCACACGTGGCGCCCAGCCTGTTGCTAACACTACATTCCCGCCATTCCGAAATCCGTCTATAATCTATTGCAACGTTTATCTATGTAAAAGAACTCAATAGTTATTAACGCTCTATGGCATAGAGTATATATGCTTTTGACATTTATATTTTATAGTTTACTAGCGGCCTCTAGCACACGGCTGGACTTTTTTTTATTTTACCCTATGTTACTTAGGGACCATATACATAGTACATATTCTAAAGTTGAGAATTTTTCGTCCATAATTTTTTGGTTATTCGTTAATATAAATTTTTCGTCTTTATAATAGATTTAGATTAGATTCCTTAGTATAGTTCAATTATTTTTTTAGTTTTATTTGATTCAATTATAAACATAATGTAAAAACAACCACAGAATGTTTTTAATTAAAACTTAAACTAAATAATAATATTTATACATAGACTAAAGATTACGAACTCTATGGTATAGACACGCATAATATAATACCTACTGTAGCGACATCTGCAGATCTGAAGGGGATTTTATAAAATATTTCCCAAGCTTTTGCATTATTTTTCTTTACGACTAAAGGCTTATGTTTCTCTACACAGTTCGAGATTTTGTATTAACTGCGCAGCCGGTGTTCAAACTCACGTCGTCCCAGTTGATAACGCATTAACTTCAATTACTATTATGCCCATTTATATAATAAAGATTTACTATAAATTCCTTCATTGATATCAGACGTTTAGCAAGTAGTACAATCACAAAACATACACATACATTTAATTCATTCATTAAAATTTCGAGTTATGACCTAAATATTAATTTAAAACGGCTTAACGCACTTATTTCCATAACACAAAATGCAATTAGTTACAGCAAAGACTCGCATACAAGTTGATATGGTAATAGGAGACCTTCAGTATTCGCTGGCAAGCGGAATTTTCCCGTCGACTTATGGTAATTTCGATATTCACTGAAACCGATTTAAATGCTGAACTTAGCGGTAGTGTCAGTGCGAAACTGTAAATTTTTAACCGGACTAAAATTTGTTGACAGACAGATTAATTGCGTTACAAAATTATTCATTTATTCACATAGGTAACACAATGTACACTTATGAACGTCAAAATATAAATATATATGAAATGGTTCTAATTTTACATTTACTGCCAGTTCTTAAATCAAGGTCGTAGAAGGGAGAGAAGAACTGGCAATAAACTCCCCCCATGTAACTGTTTTTAATCGCCAAGTTTTTTGTTTTTCACAACGTTTGTAAGGAGCTGCAACAATTACACTATGTTCCACATGACATCTTAAGTAATTAATAATAATAAAATAAATTAACGTATCTCCCTGTATTGAGTGATTTTGTCCTTATAGCTCTTGTGGCATAAGTATGCTAATAAACGTAACAAAACATTTTATATATTTTTTAATATAACCGCAAAACTGTAATGTTTCTGTAAGGAGTTTTATTTAATACGTAATCCTAAGACACTTGATGTTATTAGATACCTAACAAAGGGTTTTAAAGCAATTTCATTCAAAATAGTGAATGTTGATGTGTTATTCTCAAGGGCTAACTCCACCCGAGGCAAACATCGTCTCTAGTTACAACACGTGTGAATTCCGCTATATTTAACCTATAATTACTAAGTTAACTAATATTCAGTACTGCAGTGGCTGATTACAGCTTTGGATAAAACAGTATGAATAAAATTTACCCTCAAGACTCCCGGATGTCCAAATACAATACGTTTTCGACAGACTGAAGCCACATACTTAGCGCCAACTCTCTACTCTGAATGCGGTGGTGTGGTAGGCACTCAAGGTGATTTTAACCTATTTCAGGGTATGTTTTTACCCTCAGTAGCTCCCGGCTTAGGATTCTCATAGTTATTACAACCGGGAGCTGCAAGTTAGAGGATCTAGATAGAGGCGAGCTCTAACCTTCCCGCTCGCAGGTTTACGGATCTACACCTTCTGTTATACTAGAAGTATATTACATTTTCCTAATGTGTAATTTCTAGTACTAAATAATGAAGGTAATGCTAAAACCCGTATAAAGTAATCCACATTTTTTTTAATGTCACAGTATTCGTCTGAGATAACAGATGGCGCTATTCTCCAAAATAACAGAATTTAATACACAAACCGTGGACTCCTAGCCTTACTCGCATAATTTTTTCGTATGCATATATTTTATCTATTAGAATACTAATCAATGGTTAAGTTATCAAATATCATAATTAAAAACGATAACATAATACTTGTTGATTATAAAGATAGCTTTATCATCTACGTCATACTAGTAAATCCTCCGATTGACTAATTTAAACTTTTGCAATTTGGAAAAAAATGCTTAAAATTTTTTAATTTTAATTTTTTTTTTAATTTGGTTACGCGAACTTAACATCTAAGCTAAAACACAATATGTATGATATGAAAAAAGTGTACACAATTATATAATAATTTAAAAGTAGATAAATAAAATGTTTGACTTAAATACTTCGTTGCATAATAGATAACAATGCCATTAAAATTCAGAGTTGAAATCATTAAATTCTAGATAAAGCAGCCGCCGCCCGGCGTTGTCATGGCAACGTGAGGCTTCGTGATATTGATATAGAACAATAGGTGTTTTTATATTTTAAATCCTACATAAGTAGTCTGTATTTTTATTAGAAGAATTTTGTATTTTGTCGGATTGGAACGATATCACTCGATTAAAAAATCTAATACATAACTATAAAATAAGTGTGTTCATGAAAAGATTACTAATTCTCAAAAAAAAAAAATGTATTTCTAACTCTCTTTCTAAATAACTAATAGTTTCATTAAACTGAATTTTAACTGAAATTTGTTTCACTTGAATGTTGTAAAAAACCTTTGAATATAGTCCATTTCTGCTTAAATATTTCTAGACCCTGTTTCTATCAATGTATTTACAATTGTTTAAACATTATGTTTGGTACAATAGGGGTAGAGCCAGAGTCAAGATTTAGCTTTATGTCTGACTGCCGTATATCAAAAAAGAATTAGATTTTCACAGACGACAATCTTAGTTCGACTATGAATCCAACCCTAAGAATCGAACCCACAATTCTTTAACCAAATTGTGTACGTAAAACCGTTACTTATTTCGTTAAGAAAGAAAATCTTCTATACGAACTTGTTATTTATAACTATTATCTTTATATCAATTCAATGATGTCTTTTAATTAAACGCAACTATGACCTTGAAAGATTATAACATTACCACATTTGGAAACCAATCTCCCATACTAATTAAGTCAATATAAGGCCGAGTAAAAGGCGTTATATCAGTAGAAATTTAAGAGGTGATTTTTTTACAAAACAAATTTAGACTAGTTTTAATATAACTACCAAGGAGTTCCTATTACATCGATGAATTTTATGTAACATGTGTAATTAATTTGATAAGTTATATTGAATTATCAAAATGATGATAATAATCAAATGAAGATAAGATCTCGATCTATATTTAATTTAAAAAAATAAATATTCGTAATACTTGATTTTTAAGTAAAGGATCAGTGACAAATCCATATCACATTAATTATTTCCTTATGACCTGGAAGTACGTGATGTTATGGTTATAAATAGATTTACTTTTCAATTATTTCAGGCAAGGCTTTCGATGTAGAAGGGAAATCGCAGTGGAAAAGTACCGCGAGCTGCCAAGGCAAGAGAGTGGGTTGCGCATGCGTGTTCCACACGAACGTACCACTTGTTGTACATCCACGTGGATCTCAGAGGGTGGGGGACTTATAGCGGCCTCGTGTTCGCACTGACTTAAATTATGTGAGTATTATTACACTGTCTGATTAAGCGTTCGACTCGACTGACAGTCAAGTGCAGTGTTTTAACATCTTACGACTCGAAGATCGACGTGAATCAGGCATAGCAGGCATTATAATAATTTATTTATTTCAGATTACAGTCAAGCCTGGATAAGCGAGAGTACTACTAGTAGTAGTAAGGGACCATAATCTTATTCTCGCTTATAAAGGTTTCTCACTAACCCGAGTTTCTCGCTAATGCAGGTACATGGGTAGGGTTTCTCTCTTATAGAGGTACGCAGCAATAACAAATCACAACAAGTACGAATGTAATAAATATGTAACATGATAAAATTATGTGCATAATGTGCACAACATATATTATGTACATATATATTTTATTTTATTTAGAACTTATTTACACTTAAAATATCCGTCAATTTCGTTTGGGTTTCTGTATTGGTATTTTGAATGTGTTTCTCTTACTTTCAATTTTGTCGAATATTGCTTGATCAAGCTCGACTGTTGCTTATAGAGGTATAGATAAGTAGCGGTAAGTACGGAGGTCCATGAGGGAAAAACGACTCTCTCCTACAGAGGTTTCTGTTTCTCGCTAATAGAGGTTTTGGGTGCTTAAAATAACGGGTCCCGGCTATTACTCTCACTTCTCCAGTTCTAACTTACCCAGGTGTGACTGTATATCAATACCGCGTCCCCGCGTCGAGCTAGCGCGGTCTTCTGTAAGTGCATTTTCACCTCATGAAAATGGATTCTTGCATACAATTGATATAATATCACGTTTTATAAGAATATGAGTTTCTTGATTTGTTCTGATGCACGCCTATTAGGAGATTACAAAGACTAGCACGTTTCATACTGATATCTTCTATTAATTGAATGTATATACTTTTTCTTTTTAATGTGTCCTTTTTTATTATTGTCCTGTTAACTGTTTACATATATTTTAACTGCTTTTCATTCCATTAGTTTTCTTCCTTTTTATGTAATTATATCAATTTTATTATATTTAGGTACACGCAACGAAGTGTTAATAAATAAATAAAATAAATATTGTCTTGTACATTTATTTTAGTTATTAGGACAAATTAATAGCTGTTAATACATGCTTTTATGAAATACTAATAATATTTGACGATTACGAAAAAAAACAACAATTATACTAATACACATGAAGCACAATACATAACATAAGTAATGAAAATACTTGAAATATCGACTGTTTAAAATGTATTGAATTAAATTTATGATGTGCTACATTATGACCGGTTTATGAATTTAGTTCGTTCACTGTTAATAATATAGATAGTTGCACTTAGGAAGTTATTTTCTCGCTTTGCGCTTTATTAAGACCTAATGTGACGCACTGGAGAGGTCAATGACCAGCCAGCTGCATTATTTCGTGGACGGGCAATGATGCGTGACAGTGAAAAAGTTTTTAATTGAATTCCTTGCTATTTAAAGTCCGATACAGTACTTTAGGTGTAAGGTAAGGCGGTTTTAAAACCCTCATTCATAAACTTCATTAGCCTAATGAGCGATGAATGATTTCTGTTTCGTCCTTATCGTTCGAGATATAAATCAACATGACTAATCATTTTTATAAACATATTAAAAGTTAGGGCCTTTTTAATTTTTTATTTTATACATACATACCTATACATATATTTTCGTTTGAGCTAGCGGAAACTATTAATAAATTTATTTTGTATTAAAAAGTCCATTATTCGAACACGACTATATAATGTGTTATCGAATTAGTATGTAAAAGGATGACACAAATAGTATTATTATTATATACCTATATTAAGACAGAGGTGCAGACGATGATTTTGTAAAATACGAACGTAGACATTTTTTATCGCGATAATAAATAAAATCACAACCAAATTTTTATACCACTTAATTATTCTTGAAATTCTGAAATACAACATACCAATTGCAAAGAAAGTGGTACAGTAAGATCGATTTATTATATGCCGATGTTAAAATAGGCATGCAAATGTCATATTAAATGTCATAATAATAAGTATAGTTTTATATAATGTTTGTCAAACTTATGGTCTAAATACTCGCCCACGCTATAAAGGCACCTTGCCTTTAAAAATGTATTCACCTTGCTCTTGAAAGTATTACACGGCAGTGATATATTAAATATTTTGATAGAAATAGAGTAACAATTTTTTGAATACCTCGTGCAACGTGTAGGCACCCACAGCCGTGTCGGATCCCTCGGTATATACAGGAAAGTTTTAAATATTTTGAACAATTTTGGATGCTTTTTTAATCATAACTGTTTCAAGGATATATAAACTTGGTACCGTCAAAATACCAATACCAACATAAATAATTTATAGTGTTATTAAATAAAAATTAAACTCAATTATTATATTGCATTCAATAGGTTTAGCTTATTAGGTAATACACACATACGCAACCCTCTCGATTATACTACACTTTTTAATCATCTTAAAAACGTATAAATCTTAAATTTAAATTATCATATTACACGGTATTGCACGTATTTAAATTCTTTTTCTTACATATATAATAACGTCAGCGACTTGTTGCAATTACTACTGAAAATTTATTAGAAGCAGCCACAGGTGTAATTATATAGAAGAGCGTTAAAAACTAATTTCGTGATCGTTAAATAACGTGCGCGTCCTACAAGAACTAGCAAGGTTACTTGAAATGTCGTGAGCCATTGAAGCGTCGGTAAAATGTCATACTTTACGACGCTCTTGCGCCGGTTCACGGACAATGACAGGCGTAGAGTGGGCTTAGCAATGACCATTTTATAAGGACATCATGATAAGTGTACTAGTCCAACAGTTATTTTTATAGTTAGAGCGACGACCCTAGTTTATATACATAATTATTATTTGCGTCTTCGTGAATTGTGATTATATAATATTTAGCTGTATCAAAAAGTTAATACAAGATTTGTAATACAATATTTATTGTTGGTTATTTATATATGAAAATTGGCATTTATCAAATGATAGATTTTTGTATACAGGCGATTTCTATATTAAACAATCTTATCTGTCTTTCATAATTTGTAGTATACCTACCTATATAAATAATTTAAAATATTTTCCCATTCTAAGTATTCTATCTAAATAAAATTTACGATTAATCAGTGATTGCCTAACATCTAAATTGACTTGGATACATAAGAAATACAAATTTTATTAGTAGTTTTAATTTCTGTGATGTACATTTTTCATTCTCGTCAAACGTTGAACAGGGCTCATATTATTATCAAATCATTTTTGCGTCTGCGGGTTGAGTGTTTAGTAAATATCTTCTACTTATCTAATACTTTCGTACATAGGTTTGTTTACCCCTTCTAGGGGTGACTAACTAAAGCTAAGCATTGCCACACTCAAGAATTATGTAACGTTCTAAAGATGAATTATTCGGTAATACAAAAACACAAATCTTTCCTTTTTATTATATTAGAAGAACATTTGAATAAAAATTCAATCAATATTCATCAAAAGGACAAATAATTGCCGAAGGCCATTATTTATTGTCTATAGCAATATGATGTAAGCTCTGTGAGCAAACTTGGTTAGCCATAGTCTCCATAGAGTAAAAAAGTACCCAAAATAACTTTTAGTTTCGCTCTTATTATAAATTGCCTTTCTTTTAGCAAGGTCGAAGGATTGTCTTTCGTTTTAAGGTTGGCAAGCTTGAAATTGGGAATAAAATAATTGATTGTTATATTAAAACAAGTTTACGTAATACGTCAAGTGTAGTGCTCAGACCTATAAATTAATTGTTACACTTTTAGTATGAAAGTTTTTAAGATTGCGCAAACGGCATTGAACATTGCAAATGAAAAAGGGTATTATAAATTATTCTTATTAGTCTCCTGTCACGTTTGAATCTGACAGAGGCAATTTGTATCTAGGGTTTTCCGAATGTATAAATATTTTATCCCCTAACGGAAATGAGTCTTATAAAATTGACCTGGTTGTGTACCCGTGTACGTTCTATCGTGGACGAATGGACCGGTCATGATGCGCTTTTATGTTAGGTACCACTAGGCTACTCTGATAGCCCATCTCCTACGTCCGTAGTGTATACTGCACAGCGTAACAGTTATGCTGTTGATGTTCCGGTAGAATGCGAGAGCGACCGCGAAGCCTCTGTAACGCGGCTTTGTAGGAACTACTCGAGGTGGTTTTAGTGGGTATTGCTCGCCCAGACTGAATAGCAGAGTTTCCGGTGTCACCAACTGCTGCAACTTAGGTTTAGGGGATGCACGAATCCATTTACACCTCGGAATAAAAAAAAGTCTACTCGGATAATAATAATAATCTTTATTCATTTCTCACAAAAACTTAGTACATAAACAAGTGACAGTTATATATTATAAATAAATAATTGTCTTACTTATGATAATGGAAGTAGTTGGGGGATACTTGTAATCATTAATTTTATATTATACACAAAAAACTATTTAAGTGTGAACGTAAGTAAAAATACAACTATATTAAATCAATCAAGGAATGTCATTAGTTATCTTTAATAACTAGTAGCCAATTTATTAGTTAACAATAGTAAATAAATAATGATAAGGAAACAGCAGGTGATTAAATGCCACTAGTTAACTCCACTCGTGGAAACTTCGTGAGCTCAATTAGTATTATTGGGACAAGTGTATATACATTTTTTATGTGGCGCCCGTTATGTATAGGCGACTGATCATGTCGCTCGCTTGTGATTGGGCAAGAAACGATATTGGCCAATTAGAAGCGACCCAACGTTTCCTTTTTTAAAACTGTACCCATGAAAAGTTTACGTAATAAACTAGAATCTATTTTGCATGGAATTTATCAAGGTAACGTAAGACAATAACTGTTGTAAAAAACTTATTCCTGTTGAATCGAAATTCATACTTGAAGTTATCACATAGTAAGCGATAATAGTAAAATACAAAAATCTTTGTATGAATAATCT